GATGCATCAATCTGTGATCCGTAAACATCCTCCCAAAAAAAAAAAAATCACACATGTTCAACTTTTTTTGGGGGGGGGGCAATGTGGTTTCACTTAGCACATCAACACTGAACCATTAAGTACATAAAAGTAGCCAGGTTGGATCAGACTGAGGGTCCACCAAGTCCAGCATTTTATTTCGAACAGCAGACAGATACCTACAAGGAAAACCTACTGGCCACAGCCCTCACCTACTAAATGCTCCCGAGTTTGGAGCAAACTAGTCTAAAGTCTCCGCTTACTGGAACTGTGTGCCTGCGCAGAACAACATTCCTATACGATTACATCTCAGGTTCTTCCACTTCGTATTCGGCCATCTTATGGATAGTGTTCCTTGCTAACTCAGAATCAATTTTCTTTTTTTCTTTTTGGTACTCAGATATGCAATACCAAGGCTGCCAAACTCCAAGTGGACGTTCTCCCAGAGTGACAACTGATCTCCAGCTGACAGAGATCAGTTTCCCTGGAGAAAATGCCAACATCAGCGATTGCATTTCAAACGTCCTATACGTCTGCCTGCCTGAAAAGAACCCTACAGTGAGACCCCAGCGTAGAAGGATTTTGTGTCGGTCCCTGTAATTAGTAGGATGATCAGACCTCCAGATGAGAACAGCGATGGATATTTGCAAAGATCTGACATTCAGAATTTCCAACTGCCCCATGGGGAATGCAGGATTTCCCAACTGAATCCAGATTCTGGACGTGAAAGTTATCCCTTGACGCTCGAAACATGAATGCTTTTAGAACTTGTGACTGACCCAAGGTCCCACCAGCAGCTGCACATAGAGGAATCGGGAATCAACCCCGTTCCTCCCAGATATAGAGTCCATGCTCCTAACCAGTCCTAACTAGCTCTTTTGGATGCTGATTCTAAACTCCCCAGTATTGTAGCCAACCTTGGTTTTTTTCAGTCACGTGTTGGTTACATCTTCACATTGTATTGTTTGTTAGTCAGTTTAAAAACTTAGGTGTCTGCTAAAAAATACCGTTTATGCTTCTGTTACGCAGATTTATATGCTTCTCCGTAGCGATGGCCTCAAAGTGGATTCTGAGAAGAGGCCCTTGATGGTTTGTGTGTTTTCCATCCTACGCCCAAATTTCACTATTTCCACTATTTCAGTACATCAGCAAGAAAAGTAATACATTCTGGTATACATCAGAATATTTTTCTGGTAACCTTTTCCAGTATGAATTTAGAGGGTTTAAGGGGGGTGGAGTGAACTGTTTCCCCTTTTCTGTACCTGTTTTGTGGTGGCACCCACACCCCCCCAATAACAGCTAGCCAAGTAGCAGTTTCCCCCATCACTGTCTCTTCTTGTTTCTGGAATATTGCCACAGGACCAGTCATATCTGGCTACCTGGCAATGTCAGGAAACCAATTAAGAGTGAGGGCAGACGGTACTGCCCTGCCTCTGAATGGATGTCCCATTGCGAGCCCTTTCAACCTGTTCCCAGCGCCCCCTGAAATTTGCTAAAAAATGTCAGTGGGGCAAAAATCTTTGCAAACTATTTACACACAAAACACAGATCTACCATTTTGGTTCAACACTGCTCTGAAGTTCTTTCCTTGAGTTTCACCCCACCAAGTCTAGCTTAGTATGAACTTTCTCGTCATTTCATTCCAAGGTTAACTGTAGTCGTAACTGGATAACTTGTACTTTTAATACTGCCAACATCAGCGATTGCATTTCAAACGTCCTATACGTCTGCCTGCCTGAAAAGAACCCTACAGTGAGACCCCAGCGTAGAAGGATTTTGTGTCGGTCCCTGTAATTAGTAGGATGATCAGACCTCCAAATGAGAACAGCGATGGATATTTGCAAAGATCTGACATTCAGAATTTCCAACTGCCCCATGGGGAATGCAGGATTTCCCAACTGAATCCAGATTCTGGACGTGAAAGTTATCCCTTGACGCTCGAAACATGAATGCTTTTAGACATGTCATAATCAAGTATCATCGGAGGCCAAAGGAAGAGGTAAAAGTTAACAGCCCTGCAGTAAATACTGTGAATAATCAAGAATACATATATTTAGATGAGAAATGTTAGAAGAGTTTGGGTGAAGACAATTCCCCCTAGCTTCTACCCCTGTCTTCAGCATGTTTTGCAGAAACAAGCCCTTAGCCCTCTGCTTGTGCTAGGGGGTCAAAAGAAACGTGCTGGCAGTCCGAATCCATGCCCATTTCAGAAGTTGTCCCGCACAAGTTCCATCAGCAGCTGTACAAGAGCTTGTGCCCGTCGACTAGAATTGTGCAGGGCAGGCCTTTTTTTGTAGAAAAAGTCCAGCAGGAACTCATTAGCATAATAGGCCACACCCCTGACTGCACCGCTCATTAG